CAAAAATGCCAATTTTGTGGGTTTTTGAAAGCGATGTTTTTTTTTTGTTCAGAAAGGCTTGTTTGCTATATAAAACGTCGAAAACCGTTTTTCACGATTTATTTTCACGATCTATGACATGGGAATACAGGGGTTACAAGGGTTACAGGGGTTACAGGGGGTTACAAGGGGTTACAAGGGGTTACAGGGGTTACAAGGGGTTACAAGGGGTTACAAGGGTTACAAGGGGTTACAGGGGGTTACAAGGGGTGACAGGGGTGACAGGGGTTACAGGGGATTACAAAAGATTAGAAACTTTTTTCTAACTACAACGTTCCCAGATACTTTTTCTTGGTCTATTTTGCATAAAAACCAAAGTTGAAGAAATCTCGAATTTTTGATCAAAACGATGCACTAACCCCTTTGGAAAAATTCTAATTTTGTGTTTTTCGTAAACAGTTGTTTTTATAGTCTTTAAAGGCTTCTTTTTTCATCTAGAACGGTAAGCAAACACTTTTTCTCGATCTATTTTTCATAAATAAAAAAGATGAAAAAACTTCAACTTTTTGACCAAAATCATGGACTATCCCCTTTGCAAAAATGCCAATTTTGCCTTCTTTTTAAATCCAAGTTTATATTGTCTAGAAAGGCTTGTTTTCTAACGAGAACGTCACCAAATACTTTTTCTGGGTGTATTTTGCATAAAACGAAACGTTCACAAAATTTCAAATTTTTGACCAAAACCATGGACTAACCCCTTTGCAAAAATGCCAATTTTGTGGGTTTTTGAAAGCCATGTTTTTTTTGTTCAGGAAAGCTTGTTTGCTATATAAAACATCGAACACCGTTTTTTCACGATTTATTTTCACGATCTATGACATGGAAATACAGGGGGTTACAAGGGGTTACATGGGGTTACAAGGGGTTACAAGGGGTTACAGGGGGGTACAAGGGGTTACAAGGGGTTACAAGGGGTTAGAGGGGGTTACAAGGGGCTACAAGGGGTGACAGGGGGTGACAAGGGGTTACAGGGGGTTACAAAAGATTATAGAAACTTTTTTCTCGAACTAGAACGTTCCCAGATACTTTTTCTTGGTCTATTTTGCATAAAAATCAAAGTTGAAGAAATCTCTAATTTTTGGAAAAATTCTAATTTTGCGTTTTTCGTAAACAGTTGTTTTTATAGTCTTTAAAGGCTTCTTTTTTATCTAGAACGTCAGCAAACACTTTTTCTCGATCTATTTTTGATAAATACAAAAGATGAAAAAACTTCAACTTTTTGACCAAAATCATGGACTATCCCCTTTGCAAAAATGCCAATTTTGCCTTCTTTTTAAATCCATGTTTATATTGTCTAGAAAGGCTTGTTTTCTAACGAGAACGTCACCAAATACTTTTTCTGGGTGTATTTTGCATAAAACGAAACGTTCACAAAATTTCAAATTTTTGACCAAAACCATGGACTAACCCCTTTGCAAAAATGCCAATTTTGTGGGTTTTTGAAAGCGATGTTTTTTTGTTCAGAAAGGCTTGTTTGCTATATAAAACGTCGAAAACCGTTTTTTTCACGATTTATTTTCACGATCTATGACATGGGAATACAGGGGTTACAAGGGGTTACAGGGGTTCAAGGGGTTACAAGGGGTTACAGGGGTTACAGGGGTTACAAGGGGTTACAAGGGGTTACAGGGGGTTACAAGGGATGACAGGGGGTGACAGGGGGTTACAGGGGGTTATAAAGGATTATAGAAACTTTTTTCTAACTAGAACGTTCCCAGATACTTTTTCTTTGTGTATTTTGCATAAAAATCAAAGTTGAAGAATTCTCAAATTTTTGTCCAAAACGACGGACTAACCCCTTTGGAAAAATTCTAATTTTGCGTTTTTCGTAAACAGCTGTGTTTATAGGCGTTAAAGGCTTCTTTTTTATCTAAAACGTCAGCAAACACTTTTTCTCGATCTATTTTTGATAAACACAAAAGGTGAAAAAACTTCTTCCCTTTGCAAAAATGCCAATTTTGCCTTCTTTTTGAATATATGTTTATATTGTCTAGAAAGGCTTGTTTTCTAACGAGGACGTCACCAAATACTTTTTCTGGGTGTATTTTGCATAAAACGAAACGTCAACAAAATTTTTGACCAAAACCAAGGACTAACACCTTTGGAAAAATGCCAATTTTGTGGGTTTTTGAAACCGACGTTTTTGTTGTTCTGAAAGGCTTGTTTGCTATAGAAAAAGTCGAATATCGTTTATTCACAATTTATTTTCACGATCTATGACATGGGAGTACAGGAGTTACAAGGGGTTACAGGGGTTAAGGGGTTACAAGGGGTTACAAGGGGTTACAAGGGGTTAAGGGGTGACAAAGGGGGGGGTTGACAAGGGGTTACAAAAAGATTATAGAAGGGGTTTTTTTTCGAACTAGAACGTTTATAGATATTTTTTAGTCTATTTTGCTAAAAACGTTGAAGAAACTTTTTCTTGGTCTATTTTGCATAAAAATCAAAGTTGAAAAACTAATCAAAACGATGGACTAACCCCTTTGGAAAAATTCTAATTTTGCGTTTTTCGTAAACAGTTGTTTTTATAGTCTTTAAAGGCTTCTTTTTTTATCTAGAACGTCAGCAAACGCTTTTTTCTCGATCTATTTTTGATAAATACAAAAGATGAAAAAACTTCAACTTTTTGACCAAAATCATGGACTATCCCCTTTGCAAAAATGCCAATTTTGCCTTCTTTTTAAATCCATGTTTATATTGTCTAGAAAGGCTTGTTTTCTAACGAGAACGTCACCAAATACTTTTTCTGGGTGAATTTTGCATAAAACGAAACGTTCACAAAATTTCAAATTTTTGACCAAAACCATGGACTAATTTTTTTTGCAAAAATACCAATTTTGTGGGTTTTTGAAAGCGATGTTTTTTTTGTTCAGAAAGGCTTGTTTGCTATATAAAACGTCGAAAACCATTTTTTCACGATTTATTTTCACGATCTATGACATGGGAATACAGGGGGTTACAAGGGGTTACAGGGGGTTACAAGGGGTTACAAGGGGTTACAAGGGGTTATAGGGGGTTACAGGGGGTTGCAAGGGGTTACAAGGGGTTACAGAGGGTTACAAGGGGTTACAAGGGGTGATTGGGGGTGACAAGGGGTTACAAAAGATTGTAGAAACTTTTTTTTCGAACTAGAACGTTCCCAGATACTTTTTCTTGGTCTATTTTGCATAAAAATCAAAGTTGAAGAAATCTCTAATTTTTGATCAAAACGATGGACTAACCCCTTTGGAAAAATTCTAATTTTGCGTTTTTCGTAAACAGTTGTTTTTATAGTCTTTAAAGGCTTCTTTTTTTATCTAGAACGTCAGCAAACACTTTTTCTCGATCTATTTTTGATAAATACAAAAGATGAAAAAACTTCAACTTTTTGACCAAAATCATGGACTATCCCCTTTGCAAAAATGCCAATTTTGCCTTCTTTTTAAATCCATGTTTATATTGTCTAGAAAGGCTTGTTTTCTAACGAGAACGTCACCAAATACTTTTTCTGGGTGTATTTTGCATAAAACGAAACGTTCACAAAATTTCAAATTTTGACCAAAACCATGGACTAACCCTTTGCAAAAATGCCAATTTTGTGGGTTTTTTGAAAGCGATGTTTTTTTTTTGTTCAGAAAGGCTTGTTTGCTATATAAAACGTCGAAAACCGTTTTTTCACGATTTATTTTCACGATCTATGACATGGGAATACAGGGGGTTACAGGGGTTACAAGGGGTTACAAGGGGTTACAGGGGGTTACAAAGGGGGTTACAAGGGGTTACAAGGGGTTACAGGGGTTACAAGGGGGTTAAGGGGTGACAGGGGTGACAGGGGGTGACAAGGGGTTACAAAAGATTATAGAAACTTTTTTTTCGAACTAGAACGTTCCCAGATACTTTTTCTTGGTCTATTTTGCATAAAAATCAAAGTTGAAGAAATCTCTAATTTTTGATCAAAACGATGGACTAACCCCTTTGGAAAAATTCTAATTTTGCGTTTTTCGTAAACAGTTGTTTTTATAGTCTTTAAAGGCTTCTTTTTTATCTAGAACGTCAGCAAACGCTTTTTCTCGATCTATTTTTGATAAATACAAAAGATGAAAAAACTTCAACTTTTTGACCAAAATCATGGACTATCCCCTTTGCAAAAATGCCAATTTTGCCTTCTTTTTAAATCCATGTTTATATTGTCTAGAAAGGCTTGTTTTCTAACGAGAACGTCACCAAATACTTTTTCTGGGTGTATTTTGCATAAAACGAAACGTTCACAAAATTTCAAATTTTTGACCAAAACCATGGACTAACCCCTTTGCAAAAATGCCAATTTTGTGGGTTTTTGAAAGCGATGTTTTTTTTGTTCAGAAAGGCTTGTTTGCTATATAAAACGTCGAAAACCGTTTTTTCACGATTTATTTTCACGATCTATGACATGGGAATACAGGGGGTTACAAGGGGTTACAGGGGGTTACAAGGGGTTACAAGGGGTTACAGGGGGTTACAAGGGGTTACAAGGGGTTACAAGGGGTTACAAGGGGTTACAAGGGGTGACAGGGGGTGACAAGGGGTTACAGGGGGTTACAAAAGATTATAGAAACTTTTTTTTTCAACTAGAACGTTCCCAGGTACTTTTTCTTGGTCTATTTTGCATAAAAATCAAAGTTGAAGAAATCTCTAATTTTTGATCAAAACGATGGACTAACCCCTTTGGAAAAATTCTAATTTTGCGTTTTTCGTAAACAGTTGTTTTTATAGTCTTTAAAGGCTTTTTTTTATCTAGAACGTCAGCAAACACTTTTTCGATCTATTTTTGATAAATACAAAAGATGAAAAAACTTCAACTTTTTGACCAAAATCATGGACTATCCCCTTTGCAAAAATGCCAATTTTGCCTTCTTTTTAAATCCATGTTTATATTGTGTAGAAAGGCTTGTTTTCTAACGAGAACGTCACCAAATACTTTTTCTGGGTGTATTTTGCATAAAAGGAAACGTTCACAAAATTTCAAATTTTTGACCAAAACCATGGACTAACCCCTTTGCAAAAATGCCAATTTTGTGGGTTTTTGAAAGCGATGTTTTTTTTGTTCAGAAAGGCTTGTTTGCTATATAAAACGTCGAAAACCGTTTTTTCACGATTTATTTTCACGATCTATGACATGGGAATACAGGGGGTTACAAGGGGTTACAGGGGTTACAGGGGTTACAAGGGGTTACAGGGGTTACAAAGGGGTTACAAGGGGTTACAAGGGGTTACAGGGGGTTACAAGGGGTTACAAGGGGTTACAGGGGGTTACAAGGGGTTACAAGGGGTGACAGGGGGTGACAAGGGGTTACAGGGGGTTACAAAAGATTATAGAAACTTTTTTTTCGAACTAGAACGTTCCCAGATACTTTTTCTTGGTCTATTTTGCATAAAAATCAAAGTTGAAGAAATCTCTAATTTTTGATCAAAACGATGGACTAACCCCTTTGGAAAAATTCTAATTTTGCGTTTTTCGTAAACAGTTGTTTTTATAGTCTTTAAAGGCTTCTTTTTTTTATCTAGAACGTCAGCAAACACTTTTTCTCGATCTATTTTTGATAAATACAAAAGATGAAAAAACTTCAACTTTTTGACCAAAATCATGGACTATCCCCTTTGCAAAAATGCCAATTTTGCCTTCTTTTTAAATCCATGTTTATATTGTCTAGAAAGGCTTGTTTTCTAACGAGAACGTCACCAAATACTTTTTCTGGGTGTATTTTGCATAAAAGGAAACGTTCACAAAATTTCAAATTTTTGACCAAAACCATGGACTAACCCCTTTGCAAAAATGCCAATTTTGTGGGTTTTTGAAAGCGATGTTTTTTTTGTTCAGAAAGGCTTGTTTGCTATATAAAACGTCGAAAACCGTTTTGTTACGATTTATTTTCACGATCTATGACATGGGAATACAGGGGTTACAAAGGGGTTACAGGGGTTACAAGGGGTTACAAGGGGTTACAGGGGTTACAAGGGGTTACAAAGGGGTTACAAAAGGGGTTACAAGGGGTTACAAGGGGTGACAGGGGGGGTGACAGGGGTTACAAGGGGTTACAAAAGATTATAGAAACTTTTTTTTTCTAACTAGAACGTTCCCAGATACTTTTTCTTGGTCTATTTTGCATAAAAATCAAAGTTGAAGAAATCTCTAATTTTTGATCAAAACGATGGACTAACCCCTTTGGAAAAATTCTAATTTTGCGTTTTTCGTAAACAGTTGTTTTTATAGTCTTTAAAGGCTTCTTTTTTATCTAGAACGTCAGCAAACACTTTTTCTCGATCTATTTTTGATAAATACAAAAGATGAAAAAACTTCAACTTTTTGACCAAAATCATGGACTATCCCCTTTGCAAAAATGCCAATTTTGCCTTCTTTTTAAATCCATGTTTATATTGTCTAGAAAGGCTTGTTTTCTAACGAGAACGTCATCAAATACTTTTTCTGGGTGTATTTTGCATAAAAGGAAACGTTCACAAAATTTCAAATTTTTGACCAAAACCATGGACTAACCCCTTTGCAAAAATGCCAATTTTGTGGGTTTTTGAAAGCGATGTTTTTTTTGTTCAGAAAGGCTTGTTTGCTATATAAAACGTCGAAAACCGTTTTGTTACGATTTATTTTCACGATCTATGACATGGGAATACAGGGGGTTACAAGGGGTTACAGGGGGTTACAAGGGGTTACAAGGGGTTACAAGGGGTTACAAGGGGTTACAAGGGGTTACAAGGAGTTACAAGGGGTGACAGGGGGTGACAAGAGGTTACAAGGGGTGACAGGAAGTGACAAGGGGTTACAAAAGATTATAGAAACTTTTTTTTCGATCTAGAACGTTCCCAGATACTTTTTCTTGGTCTATTTTGCATAAAAATCAAAGTTGAAGAAATCTCTAATTTTTGATCAAAACGATGGACTAACCCCTTTGGAAAAATTCTAATTTTGCGTTTTTCGTAAACAGTTGTTTTTATAGTCTTTAAGGGCTTCTTTTTTATCTAGAACGTCAGCAAACGCTTTTTCTCGATCTATTTTTGATAAATACAAAAGATGAAAAAACTTCAACTTTTTGACCAAAATCATGGACTATCCCCTTTGCAAAATGCCAATTTTGCCTTCTTTTTAAATCCATGTTTATATTGTCTAGAAAGGCTTGTTTTCTAACGAGAACGTCACCAAATACTTTTTCTGGGTGTATTTTGCATAAAACGAAACGTTCACAAAATTTCAAATTTTTGACCAAAACCATGGACTAACCCCTTTGCAAAAATGCCAATTTTGTGGGTTTTTGAAAGCGATGTTTTTTTTTCAGAAAGGCTTGTTTGCTATATAAAACGTCGAAAATCGTTTTTTCACGATCTATTTTCACGATCTATGACATGGGAAACAGGGGTTACAAAAGGGGTTACAAGGGGTTACCAGGGGTTACAAGGGGTTACAAGGGGTTACAAGGGGGGTTACAAGGGGTTACAAAGGGGTTACAGGGGTTACAAAAAAGGGGTGACAGGGGTGACAAGGGGTTACAGGGGTTGCAAAGGATTATAGAAACTTTTTTTCTAACTAGAACGTTCCCAGATACTTTTTCTTGGTCTATTTTGCATAAAAATCAAAGTTGAAGAAATCTCTAATTTTTGATCAAAACGATGGACTAACGCCTTTGGAAAAATTCTAATTTTGTCTTTTTTCGTAAACAGTTGTTTTTATAGTCTTTAAAGGCTTCTTTTTTTATCTAGAACGTCAGCAAACACTTTTTTCTCGAACTATTTTTGATAAATACAAAAGATGAAAAAACTTCAACTTTTTGACCAAAATCATGGACTATCCCTTTGCAAAAATGCCAATTTTGCCTTCTTTTTAAATCCATGTTTATATTGTCTAACAAGGCTTGTTTTCTAACGAGAACGTCACCAAATACTTTTTCTGGGTGTATTTTGCATAAAACGAAACGTTCACAAAATTTCTAATTTTTGATTAAAACAATGGACTAACCCCGTTGCAAAAATGCCAATTTTGTGGGTTTTTGAAACCGATTTTTTTTTTTGTTCAGAAAGGCTTGTTTGCTATATAAAACGTCGAAAATCGTTTTTTCACGATCTATTTTCACGATCTATGACATGGGGAATACACGGGGTTACAAGGGGTTACAGGGGGGTTACAAGGGGTTACAAGGGGTTACAAGGGGTTGACAGGGGTTACAAGGGGTGACAAGGGGTTACAGGGGGGGGTTGCAAAGGATTATAGAAAGGATTATTTTTCTAACTAGAACGTTCCCAGATACTTTTTCTTGGTCTATTTTGCATAAAATCAAAGTTGAAGAAATCTCTAATTTTTGATCAAAACGATGGACTAACCCCTTTGGAAAAATTCTAATTTTGCGTTTTTCGTAAACAGTTGTTTTTATAGTCTTTAAAGGCTTTTTTTTTTTATCTAGAACGTCAGCAAACACTCTTTTTCTCGATCTATTTTTGATAAATACAAAAGATGAAAAAACTTCAACTTTTTGACCAAAATCATGCACTATCCCCTTTGCAAAAATGCCAATTTTGCCTTCTTTTTAAATCCATGTTTATATTGTCTAGAAAGGATTGTTTTCTAACGAGAACGTTACCAAATACTTTTTCTGGGTGTATTTTGCATAAAAGGAAGCGTTCAGAAAATTTCAAATTTTGGACCAAAACCATGGACTAACCCCTTTGCAAAAATGCCAATTTTGTGGGTTTTTGAAACCGATGTTTTTTTTTGTTCAGAAAGGCTTGTTTGCTATATAAAACGTCGAAAATGGATTTTTCACGATCTATTTTCACGATCTATGACATGGGAATACAGGGGGTTACAAGGGGTTACAGGGGGTTACAAGGGGTTACAAGGGGTTACAAGGGGTTACAGGGGGTTACAAGGGGTTACAAGGGGTTACAGGGGGTTACAAGGGGTTACAAGGGGTGACAGGGGGTGACAAGGGGTTACAGGGGGTTACAAAAGATTATAGAAACTTTTTTTTCGAACTAGAACGTTCCCAGATACTTTTTCTTGGTCTATTTTGCATAAAAATCAAAGTTGAAGAAATCTCTAATTTTTGATCAAAACGATGGACTAACCCCTTTGGAAAAATTCTAATTTTGCGTTTTTCGTAAACAGTTGTTTTTATAGTCTTTAAAGGCTTCTTTTTTATCTAGAACGTCAGCAAACACTTTTTTCGATCTATTTTTGATAAATACAAAAGATGAAAAAACTTCAACTTTTTGACCAAAATCATGGACTATGGACTATGGATCATGGACTTTTGCCTTCTTTTTAAATCTATGTTTATATTGTCTAGAAAGGCTTGTTTTCTAACCAGAACGTCACCAAATACTTTTTCTGGGTGTATTTTGCATAAAACGAAACGTTCACAAAATTTCAAAGTTTTGACCAAAACCATGGACTAACCCCTTTGCAAAAATGCCAATTTTGTGGGTTTTTGAAACCGATGTTTTTGTTGTTCAGAAAGGCTTGTTTGCTATATAAAACGTCGAAAACCGTTTTTTCACGATTTATTTTCACGATCTATGACATGGGAATACAGGGGGTTACAAGGGGTTACGGGGGGTTTTAAAGGGGTTACAAGGGGTTACAGGGGTTACAAGGGGTTACAAGGGGTTACTTGGGGTTTACAAAAAGGGGTTACAAGGGGTGACAGGGGTGACAAAGGGGGTTACAGGGGTTACAAAGATTATAGAAACTTTTTTTTCGAACTAGAACGTTCCCAGATACTTTTTCTTGGTCTATTTTGCATAAAAATCAAAGTTGAAGAAATCTCTAATTTTTGATCAAAACGATGGACTAACCCCTTTGGAAAAATTCTAATTTTGCGTTTTTCGTAAACAGTTGTTTTTATAGTCTTTAAAGGCTTCTTTTTTATCTAGAACGTCAGCAAACACTTTTTCTCGATCTATTTTTGATAAATACAAAAGATGAAAAAACTTCAACTTTTTGACCAAAATCATGGACTATCCCCTTTGCATAAATGCCAATTTTGCCTTCTTTTTAAATCCATGCTTATATTGTCTAGAAAGGCTTGTTTTCTAACGAGAACGTCACCAAATACTTTTTCTGGGTGTATTTTGCATAAAACGAAACGTTCACAAAATTTCAAATTTTTGACCAAAACCATGGACTAACCCCTTTGCAAAAATGCCAATTTTGTGGGTTTTTGAAAGCGATGTTTTTTTTGTTCAGAAAGGCTTGTTTGCTATATAAAACGTCGAAAATCGTTTTTTCACGATCTATTTTCACGATCTATGACATGGGAATACAGGGGGTTACAAGGGGTTACCGGGGGTTACAAGGGGTTACAAGGGGTTACAGCGGGTTAAAAGGGGTTACGAGGGGTGACAGGGGGTTACAGGGGGTTGCAAAGGATTATAGAAACTTTTTTCTAAGTAGAACGTTCCCAGATACTTTTTCTTGGTCTATTTTGCATAATAATCAAAGTTGAAGAAATCTCTAATTTTTGATCAAAACGATGGACTAACGCCTTTGGAAAAATTCTAATTTTGTCTTTTTCGTAAACAGTTGTTTTTATAGTCTTTAAAGGCTTCTTTTTTTATCTAGAACGTCAGCAAACACTCTTTCTCGAACTATTTTTGATAAATACAAAAGATGAAAAAACTTCAACTTTTTGACCAAAATCATGGACTATCCCCTTTGCAAAAATGCCAATTTTGCCTTATTTTTAAATCCATGTTTATATTGTCTAGAAAGGCTTGTTTTCTAACGAGGACGTCACCAAATACTTTTTCTGGGTGTAATTTGCATAAAACGAAACGTTCACAAAATTTCCAATTTTTGAATAAAACCATGGACTAACCCCTGCAAAAAAAATGCCAATTTTTGGGTTTTGAAACCGATGTTTTTTTTTTTGTTCAGAAAGGCTTGTTTGCTATATAAAACGTCGAAAATCGTTTTTCACGATCTATTTTTACGATCTATGACATGGGAATACATGGGGTTACAAGGGGTTACCGGGGTTACAAGGGGTTATAAAGGGGTTACTATTTTATCTATGACATGGGGTTACAAGGGGTTACAAGGGGTTACAAAAGGGGTTACAGGGGGGTGACAAGGGGTTACAGGGGTTGCAAAGGATTATAGAAACTTTTTTCTAACTAGAACGTTCCCAGATACTTTTTCTTGGTCTATTTTGCATAAAAATCAAAGTTGAAGAAATCTCTAATTTTTGATCAAAACGATGGACTAACCCCTTTGGAAAAATTCTAATTTTGCGTTTTTCGTAAACAGTTGTTTTTATAGTCTTTAAAGGCTTTTTTTATCTAGAACGTCAGCAAACACTTTTTCTCGATCTATTTTTTGATAAATACAAAAGATGAAAAAACTTCAACTTTTTTGACCAAAATCATGGACTATCCCCTTTGCAAAAATGCCAATTTTGCCTTCTTTTTAAATCCATGTTTATATTGTCTAGAAAGGCTTGTTTTCTAACGAGAACGTCACCAAATACTTTTTCTGGGTGTATTTTGCATAAAAGGAAACGTTCACAAAATTTCAAATTTTTGACCAAAACCATGGACTAACCCCTTTGCAAAAATGCCAATTTTGTGGGTTTTTGAAAGCGATGTTTTTTTTGTTCAGAAAGGCTTGTTTGCTATATAAAACGTCGAAAACCGTTTTTTCACGATTTATTTTCACGATCTATGACATGGGAATACAGGGGGTTACAAGGGGTTACAGGGGGTTACAAGGGGTTACAAGGGGTTACAGGGGGTTACAAGGGGTTACAAGGGGTTACAGGGGTTTACAAGGGGTTACAAGGGGTGACAGGGGGTGACAAGGGGTTACAGGGGGTTACAAAAGATTATAGAAACTTTTTTTTCGAACTAGAACGTTCCCAGATACTTTTTCTTGGTCTATTTTGCATAAAAATCAAAGTTGAAGAAATCTCTAATTTTTGATCAAAACGATGGACTAACCCCTTTGGAAAAATTCTAATTTTGCGTTTTTCGTAAACAGTTGTTTTTATAGTCTTTAAAGGCTTCTTTTTTATCTAGAACGTCAGCAAACACTCTTTCTCGATCTATTTTTGATAAATACAAAAGATAAAAAAAACTTCAACTTTTTGACCAAAATCACGGACTATCCCTTTGCAAAAATGCCAATTTTGCCGTCTTTTTAAATCCATGTTTATATTGTCTAGAAAGAATTGTTTTCTAACGACAACGTCACCAAATACTTTTTCTGGGTGTATTTTGCATAAAACGAAACGTTCAGAAAATTTCAAATTTTGGACCAAAACCATGGACTAACCCCTTTGCAAAAATGCCAATTTTGTGGGTTTTTGAAACCGATGTTTTTTTTGTTCAGAAAGGCTTGTTTGCTATATGAAACGTCGAAAATCGGTTTTCTCACGATCTATTTTCACGATCTATGACATGGGAGGGGTTACCGGGATGTTTTTTTTTACAAAGGGGGGGTTACAAAAGGGGTTACAAGGGGTTACAAGGGGTTACAAGGGGTTACAGGGGGTTACAAAGGGGTTAAAGGGGGTTTACAAGGGGTGACAGGGGTTACAAAGGGGGGGGTTACAGGGGGTTGCAAAGGATTATAGAAACTTTTTTCTAACTAGAACGTTCCCAGATACTTTTTCTTGGTCTATTTTGCATACAAATCAAAATTGAAGAAATATCTAATTTTTGATCAAAACGATGGACTAACCCCTTTGGAAAAATTCTAATTTTGCGTTATACGTGAACAGCTGTTTTTATAGTCTTTAAAGGCTACTTTTTTTATCTAGAACGTAAGAAAACACTCTTTCTCGATCTATTTTTGATAAATACAAAAGATAAAAAAAACTTCAACTTTTTGACCAAAATCATGGACTATCCCCTTTGCAAAAATGCCAATTTTGCCTTCTTTTTAAATCCATGTTTATATTGTCTAGAAAGGCTTGTTTTCTAACGACAACGTCACCAAATACTTTTTCTGGGTGTATTTTGCATAAAACGAAACGTTCACAAAATTTCAAATTTTTGAATAAAACCATGGACTAACCCCTTTGCAAAAATGCCAATTTTTAGGGTTTTTGAAACCGATGTTTTTTTTTTTGTTCAGAAAGGCTTGTTTGCTATATAAAACGTCGAAAATCGTTTTTTCACGATCTATTTTCACGATCTATGACATGGGAAGGGGTTACGGGGTTACAAGGGGTTACAAGGGGTTACAAGGGGTTACAAGGGGTTACAAGGGGTGACAGGGGTTACAAGGGGTTACAAGGGGTTACAAGGGGTGACAGGGGGTGACAAGGGGTTACAGGGGGTTGCAAAGGATTATAGAAACTTTTTTCTAACTAGAACGTTCCCAGATACTTTTTCTTGGTCTATTTTGCATAAAAATCAAAGTTGAAGAAATCTCTAATTTTTGATCAAAACGATGGACTAACCCCTTTGGAAAAATTCTAATTTTGCGTTTTTCGTAAACAGTTGTTTTGATAGTCTTTAAAGGCTACTTTTTTTTATCTAGAACGTAAGGAAGCACTCTTTCTCGATCTATTTTTGATAAATACAAAAGATGAAAAAACTTCAACTTTTGACCAAAATCATGGACTATCCCCTTTGCAAAAATGCCAATTTTGCCTTATTTTTAAATCCATGTTTATATTGTCTAGAAAGGCTTGTTTTCTAACGAGGACGTCACCAAATACTTTTTCTGGGTGTAATTTGCATAAAACGAAACGTTCACAAAATTTCCAATTTTTGAATAAAACCATGGACTAACCCCTTTGCAAAAATGCCAATTTTTAGGGTTTTTGAAACCGATGTTTTTTTTGTTCAGAAAGGCTTGTTTGCTATATAAAACGTCGAAAATCGTTTTTTCACGATCTATTTTTACGATCTATGACATGGGAATACACGGGGTTACCGAGGGTTACAAGGGGTTACAAGGGGTTACAGGGGGGGTTACTAGAAGGGGGGTTACAGGGGGGGTGACAGGGGTGACAAGGGGTTACAGGGGTTGCAAAGGATTATACGTCGAAAATCGTTTTTTTTTTCTAACTAGAACGTTCCCAGATACTTTTTCTTGGTCTATTTTGCATAAAAATCAAAGTTGAAGAAATCTCTAATTTTTGATCAAAACGATGGACTAACCCTTTTGAAAAAAATTCTAATTTTGTTTTTCGTAAACAGTTGTTTTTATAGTCTTTAAAGGCTTCTTTTTTATCTAGAACGTCAGCAAACACTCTTTCTCGATCTATTTTTGATAAATACAAAAGATGAAAAAACTTCAACTTTTGACCAAAATCATGGACTATCCCTTTGCAAAAATGCCAATTTTGCCTTCTTTTTAAATCCATGTTTATATTGTCTAGAAAGGCTTGTTTTCTAACGAGAACGTCACCAAATACATTTTCTGGGTGTATTTTGGATAAAACGAAACCTTCACAAAATTTCAAATTTTTTACCAAAACCATGGACTAACCCCTTTGCAAAAATGCCAATTTTGTGGGTTTTTGAAACCTATTTTTTTTTTTGCTCAGACAGGCTTGTTTGCTATATAAAACGTCTAAAATCTTTTTTTCACGATCTATTTTCACGATCTATGACATGGGAATACAGGGGTTGACAAGGGGTTACAGAGGGTGACAAGGGGTTAAACGGGGTTACAGGTGATGAAAAGGAGTGACAAGGGGTTACAGGGGTTTACAAGGAGTTACAAGGGGTGACAGGGGGTGACAAGGGGTTACAGGGGTTACAAAGGATTATAGAAACTTTTTTTTCGAACTAGAACGTTCCCAGATACTTTTTCTTGGTCTATTTTGCATAAAAATCAAAGTTGAAGAAATTTCTAATTTTTGATCAAAACGATGGACTAACCCCTTTGGAAAAATTCTATTTTTTGGGTTTTTCGTAAACAGTTGTTTTTTAGTTTTTAAAGGCTTCTTTTTTTATCTAGAACGTCGAAAATCGTTTTTCTCGATCTATTTTTGATAAATGAAAAGATGAAAAAACTTCAACTTTTTGACCAAAATCATGGACTATCCCAGGGGCATAAATGCCAATTTTGCCTTCTTTTTAAATCCATGTTTATATTGTCTAGAAAGGATTTGTTTTCTAACGAGAACGTTCCCAAATACTTTTTTCTGGGTGTATTTTGCATAAAAACGAAACGTTGAAAAATTTCAAATTTTTGACCAAAACCATGGACTAACCCCTTTCAAAAAAAAAATGCTAATTTTGTGGGTTTTTGAAAGCGATTTTTTTTTTTTGTTCAGAAATTGTTTCTATATAAAACGTCGAAAATCGTTTTTCACGATCTATTTTCACGATCTATGACATGGGAAAACAGGGGTTTCAAGGGGTTACTATTTTTGATAAAGGGGTTACAAAGGGGTTAAAAATTTCAAAGGGGACGAGGGGTGACAAGGGGTTACAGGGGGTTGCAAAGGATTATAGAAACTTTTTTCTAACTAGAATGTTCCCAGATACTTTTTCTTGGTCTATTTTGCATAAAAATCAAAGTTGAAGAAATCTCTAATTTTTGATCAAAACGATGGACTAACCCCTTTGGAAAAATTCTAATTTTGCTTTTTCGTAAACAGTTGTTTTTATAGTCTTTAAAGGCTTCTTTTTTTATCTAGAACGTCAGCAAACACTCTTTCTCGATCTATTTTTGATAAATACAAAAGATGAAAAAACTTCAACTTTTAGACCAAAATCATGGACTATCCCCTTTGCAAAAATGCCAATTTTGCCTTCTTTTTAAATCCATGTTTATATTGTCTAGAAAGGATTGTTTTCTAACGAGAACGTCACCAAATACTTTTTCTAGGTGTATTTTGCATAAAACGAAACGTTCACAAAATTTCAAATTTTTGACCAAAACCATGGACTAACCCCTTTGCAAAAATGCCAATTTTGTGGGTTTTTGAAACCGATGTTTTTTTTGTTCAGAAAGGCTTGTTTGCTATATAAAACGTCGAAAATCGTTTTTTCACGATCTATTTTCACGATCTATGACATGGGAATACACCGGGTTACTGAGGGTTACAAGGGGTTACAAGGGGTTACAAGAGGTTACAGGGGGTTACAAGGGGTGACAGGGGGTGACAAGGGGTTACAGGGGGTTGCAAAGGATTATAGAAGCTTTTTTCTAACTAGAACGTTCCCAGATACTTTTTCTTGGTCTATTTTGCATAAAAATCAAAGTTGAAGAAATCTCTAATTTTTGATCAAAACGGTGGACTAACCCCTTTGGAAAAATTCTAATTTTGCGTTTTTCGTAAACAGTTGTTTTTATAGTCTTTAAAGGCTTCTTTTTTTATCTAGAACGTCAGCAAACACTCTTTCTCGATCTATTTTTGATAAATACAAAAGATGAAAAAACTTCTCGACCAAAATCATGGACTATCCCCTTTGCAAAAATGCCAATTTTGCCTTCTTTTTAAATCCATGTTTATATTGTCTAGAAAGGATTGTTTTCTAACGAGAACTTCACCAAATACTTTTTCTGGGTGTAATTTGCATAAAACGAAAGGTTCACAAAATTTCAAATTTTTGAATAAAACCATGGACTAACCCCTTTGCAAAAATGCCAATTTTGTGGGTTTTTGAAACCGATGTTTTTTTTGTTCAGAAAGGCTTGTTTGCTATATAAAACGTCGAAAATCGTTTTTTCACGATCTATTTTTACGATCTATGACATGGGAATACACGGGGTTACCGAGGGTTACAAGGGGTTACAAGGGGTTACAGGGGGTGACAAGGGGTTACAGGGGGTTGCAAAGGATTATAGAAGCTTTTTTCTAACTAGAACGTTCCCAGATACTTTTTCTTGGTCTATTTTGCATAAAAATCAAAGTTGAAGAAATCTCTAATTTTTGATCAAAACGATGGACTAACCCCTTTGGAAAAATTCTTATTTTTCGTTTTTCATAACAGTTGTTTTTCTTACAGTCTTTATAAAGGCTTCTTTTTTGTCTAGAACGTCAGCAAACACTTTTTCTCGCTCTATTTTTGATAAACACAAAACATAAAAAAACTTCAGTTTTTTTAGGAAAATCATGGACTATCCTCTTTGCTAAAATACTAATTTTGCGTTCTTTTTAAATCGATGTTTATATTGTCTTAAAGGGCTTGTTTTGTAACGAGAACGTCAACAAATACTTTTTCTCGGTGTATTTTGCATAAAACGAAACGTTAACAACCTTTCCAATTTTTGACCAAAACCATGGACTAACCCCTTTGGGAAAATGCCAATTTTGAGGGTGTCTGAAACCGATGTTTTCATTGTTTAGAATTGCTTGTTTTCTATATAAAACGGCCAAAATCGTTTTTTGACGATTTATTTTCACGATCTATTACATGGGAATAGAGGGATTACAAGGGGTGACAAGGGGTTACAGGGGGTTACAAAGGTTTATAGAAACTTTTTTCTAACTAGAACGTTCCCAGATACTTTTTCTTGGTCTACTTTTCATAAAAATTAAAACTGAAGAAATCTCAAATTTTTGATCTTAACGATGAACTATCCCCTTTGGAAAAATTCTGATTTTTGGTTTTTCGTACACAGTTGTTCTTATAGTCTTTGAAGGCTTCTTTTTTATCTAAAACTTCAGCAAACACTTTTTCTTGCTCTGTTTTTAATAAACACAAAAGATGAAGAAACTTCAACTTTTTGACCAAAATCATGGACTACCCTCTTTGGAATAATGCTAATTTTGCGCTCTTTTTAAATCCATTTTTATATAGTCTAGAAAGGCTTGTTCGCTAACAAGACCGTCACCAAATACTCTTTTTCGGTGTATTTTGCATGAAATGAAACGTTAAAAAAATTTCACATTTTTGACCAAGACTATGGAAAACCATCCCTTTGGCAAAATGCCAATTTTGTGGGTTTCTGAAACCGATGTTTTCATTGTCCTGAAAGGCTTGTTTTAATTTGCTATATAAAACGTCGAAAGTCGTTTTTTGACGATTTATTTTCACCATCTATTACATGGGAATACAGGGGGTTACAGGGGGTTATAGGGGGTTACAGAGAGTTACGGGGGGTTACAAGGGGTTTCAAAAGTTACAGCGGGTTAGGAGGAATTACAGGGGGTTACAGGAAGTTACAAGGTGTTACAAGAGGTTACAGGGGGTTAGAAGGAATCACAGGGGGTCACAGGAAGTTCCAAGGTGTTACAAGAGGTTACAGGGGGTTACAAGGGTTACAGAGAGTTACAAGGGGTTACAGAGAGTTACAGGGGGTTACAAGGGGTTGCAAGAGGTTACAGGGGGTTACAAAGTGTTACAAGAGGTTACAGAGGGTTTCAAGAGGTTATAGGGGGTGAGAGGGAATTACAGGGGGTTGCAGAGGGTTACAGGAAGTTACAAGGTGTTACAAGAGGTTACAGGGGGTTAGAAGGAATTACAGGGGGTTACAGAGGGTTATAGGAAGTTACAAGGTGTTACAGGAGGTTACAGGGGGTTAGAAGGTCTTGAGATAGTTTCCGCCAGACTTGTGAGACAATGGTTGATCTAATTTCCGACTCTCTAGCACTCATTTTCAATCGATCGATTGAAACAAGTATTTTTCCCGATGAATGGAAGAGCGCTAGGATCACTCCTCTCTACAAGAAATTTGGGAATAGAAGCGATCCCTCAAATTACCGGCCGATTTCGATCATTCCTGTGGTGGCTAATGTTTTCGAGCGGATTGTTTATGATCAGCTATATCGTTATCTAACCGAAAACAAACTTCTCTGTTGTTACTAATCTGGTTTTCGCACACTCCACTCCGCAGTTACTGTATTGATTGATCGAAGCCACAACTGGTCTTTGAACGTCGACCGCGGCTTTGTCAATGCAGTTGTCTTCTTAGACCTTAAAAAGGCTTTCGACATGCCAAACCATGCTATTCTTCTTTTAAAACTTCAACATATGGTATCCGTGATTCTGCTAATCAATGGATCTGTTCTTATTTGAGAAATCGTATGCAAACGTGTCTCGTTAATTGCAACAAGTCATCTGAAACGTACCTACCCTGTGGTGTCCCACAGAGAACGATTTTGGGGCCTCTTTTGTTTTTACTATATATAAATGACCTTCCGAATTGCCTCATGTATTCACAACCTAAAATGTATGCTGACGACACTAGTATCACCTATGCGAGCAATGATGTTGAAGAAATAGAGCGTTGCGTTAACATAGATTTAGATAGAATTCGTATATGGCTTGCAGCGAACAAACTTACAATAAACACGACTAAGACAGAATTTTTATTAATTGGGTCTAGGCAAAGACTGTCAACGCTAGAAAGGAATCCCATAATTGAAATTAACAAGTTTCCGATTAAACACGTTTCGACTTCAAAATCCCTAGGTGTTCACATCGATGGAAACCTTTCTTGGGAGTGTCATATTAACGAAATCTCTAAGAAGACTGCTTCTTGCATAAGTGCGATTAAGCGTATTGGGTATTTTCTCCCTTCTGAGATTCTACGTAACGTATACAATTCACTGGTACAGCCACACTTTGATTACTGCCATGTAGTAGGGGGAAACTGTTCTAGGAACCTATCTTTTAAATTGCAGAAATTGCAGAATCGCGCCGCTCGCGTTCTGACTCTCTCTAATTATGACTGCACTACTAGTGAATTATTTCAAAATTTAAAGTGGTCGAAACTTGTTTATCAGCACGCAGTTAGTAAAGCGATAATGATCCATAGCATGGTAAATAACACAGCTCCGGAATATCTGACTTCGCGTTTTGTTCGTCGCTGCGATTTAACTAGTTATAGCCGTAGAGAGAATAAATATAAGCTCACTGTTCCACAACCCCGTACTGAATTTTATGAAAGAAGTCTTTCTTACAGCGGAAGTTATGGAACAGCTTGCCTCTGGAGGTGCGACAATTGACATCCCCTATTATATTTAAGGGAAAATTGAGAGATATATATTTCGATTGACAAATAATTTAATTAGCGATATTCTGTTTTTACACACGGCCTCCTTGAAAAGCAGGTGTTTTCTTTTCGTCTTTATTATTTTAGTTTTTATCTTCGATTTTAAATTAGTGAGGAAGTTAGTTTTCCTACACTTGAATGTAAATGTACCTGAAGGAAATACCGTGCATAAATAAAGTTACCATACCATACCATACAGAGGGTTACAAGGGGTTACAAGATGTTACAAGGGGTTACAAGGGGTCACAGGGGGTTACAAGGGGTTACAGGGGTTGACAGGGGGTTACAAGAGGTTACAGGGGGTTACAGGGAATTACAAGGGGTTACCAGGGGGTTGCAAGGGGTTATAGGGGGTTACAATGGGTTACAGGGAGTCAAGATGTTACAGTAAAACTTATTTTCTAACTGGAACGTCCCCAGATACTGTTTCTTGGTCTATTTTGCATAAAAATAAAAGATAAAGAAATCTGACATTTTTCACGAAGTTATGCTGGAGTAACCACTTTGGAAAAATGTAAATTTTGCGTTTTTCATTAATAGATGTTCTTATGGTGTTGAGAGGATTCTTTTTTGTATAGAACGTCAGTAAACACTTTTTCTCGATCTATCTTTGATAAATACCAAAGATGAAAAAACTTCAACTTTTTGACAAAAATCATGGACTAACCGCTTTGGAAAAAATGCCATTTTTTTTTTTGAAATCCATGTTTCTATTGTCTAGAAAGGCTTGTTTTCTAACGAGAACATCACCAAATATTATTTCTCGTTGTAGTTTGAAAACGTTTTAAAACGAAAAGTTGCCAAAATCTCAAATTTTGACAAAAACCGTGGACTAACAAATAGTGCAGGTTTTTTTAAACCAATGTAAGGCTTGTCTATCGTTTTTTCACGATGTATTACATGGGGATACAGGGGGTTACAGAAAAACGTTTTTCTAACTAGAACGTTTTCAGGTACTTTTCTCGGTATATTTTGCATAAAATGAAAGTACAAGACATCTCAAACTTTTGACGAAAGCGATGGACTTACCCCTTTGGCAAAATGCAAATGACTTGGAAAAATGCTGATCCCTTTGGAAAAATGTATATTCTGCGGTGTTTTCAAACCGACGTTTTCATAGTCTAGAAAGGCTTGTTTTCTATATAAAACGTGAAAAATCGTTTTTTCAGGATTTATTGTCACGATGTATCACATGGGGTTACAAGGGTTTACAGGGGTTTCAAGAGGGTACAAGGGGATACAAGTTTTTCAATCGCGCGAACATTCTTTCAACTGTCATTTTTTAGCACTGAGTATGATATCCTTGAAAGTTCTGATTTTCACTAAATGGAAAACGGTCGGCGCTTTTTGCAAAATATCGCCTTCGTGTCAAAAGCGGATTGACAGACGTGCACGACTCCTGTTGTGCGTCCATTGCTGAAGGATTCTTCCTCTCTCGATTCGTTATCCCTTTTACATTGTTGTGCCCAAGAATGTAGTTTCTATTTGTAATACTTTAGCAGTACTTTAGCAATGCCTTCGTCCTCTGGAATGGTTGTGTAAAGGTTAGTAACATATAGTGACACTAGAAAAGCGCCTGAAGGAACTCTGGTGCTTTTGATAAATTTGTCGAAGTCAGTCGTATCCTTTAGATACGAGACTTATTTTTACCGCAACTGGCTAAAGAAGTTTGTCTACAAATGGTTATAAACGTTATGGAGGGCCATCACACCCGGATATGATAGGTCGACCGAAGGTTTTTGTGAGAGTGCAGAAGACGCAGAACACTGGAATTGCATTATCCTCGCCTTGCCTCGATTTGCAACATCACGACTGCATTGCATTCTGGGAAAAAGCCAGAATTGTTGACTGCGTTCATTCCTTCGCCCACTTTTTTCACATTTATACTAGGTCTACAGCCACTCCGACCTACCACGGAAATTTTGCGCTTGCTATGATTTTCAGTGCTCGCAAATTCCAAAATATAGCACAGTAGTCAATTCTCAACGCTACTTCGTTTGGGAGCGTTTCGGAGCGGCATTTTTCCAGTTCCGCGAGCAACAAGCCAAATTCGCAAAAGAGGTACATCACTATACTCGCTTCTTTGATAAAGTGGACACTTAGCTACCGTCATGCTTAATGATGCTCATCAGGCAGCCATTAAAGATGAAAAATGGGTGTTAGCTTACCAAAAAACGCATACAAACAATATTTGAGCAGTTATTCTAGTTTAACGAAGCAAAATGACTTCCTCAGAATGACGTTTCCATAAAACTCGAGCGTTCAGTGCTTTACAGCAGTACCACTTTCCATGGTAACCCCAAATACGGAGTCTATGAATTGTTTATATGTAGAATCACAGCCTCGTACCCAGCCCTGTTCGCGCTATCCGAGTGACCAGAGGAGGCTTGGAACCGAGCGCGATAGTCCCAGGCGAATTTTCCCGACAAGCTTGACAGGTGACGTCACATCCGAAATCGCCGAGGACGACTGGGAGCGAGGCTGGTAGAAACAGGCTGGAAACCGTAAAAAGTATCGGGCATCAAAGGGTTAACGTACGTAAGTACAACTGGTTACGTTGCCAAGTAACAGATGCCAAACATAAATACTCGAAATTCTAATTTGTTGTATTTAAACGCAATCGCTTTGATAAGTGCTCGTTTTTTACAGGCATTAATAAATTATAGTTATAATAATAAATAATAATAATATTATTATTGTTAATATTATAATTATAACGTGAATAATAGAAGAACTAATTAGTTGCTAAGTAACAGATGCAAAACATAAAAGTCCAGAAATAACTCTATTTGCACTGCACTGTAAATTGTCTTGGCCGAACAAAATGGGCGATAATCATAATAACAACTACGTCCTTTTAATCGTGGGCAACCTTAAAAGGCGCTAAAGAAGAGAAGTATGACGTCACGTTACCATGGTAACAAATTTTCCACATCTCAATAACTTTTGTTGACAGAGATGGCCATATGCCTTGTCGAACGAAGAATGAAAAATTTTGGGCTACCTTTTATTTCCAGAGTGCAATTATGCACAAAAAAGTCATTTATTCGTTACAGTTTAGATGTTGTAGCTCAAATTTGATAGCTTTTTGTTGTTGTTGTTGTTTGCGTGGTAGGTATTTTAATTAAATTATCACTAGTATTTCTTGTTCTGATAACCATATTATCCGTTGTTTACTTCGTGATTAAAATTTTACCCTGATACACACACAAAAAACATAGCACAAGTTCATCTTTTTCTTTTTTTTTCCACAATTAGGTTCAGGGTTTTTTTCCCAACGTTTCATAGATGAACACCATAAATCGTTACTAGTAATATGAGACCCAGCGTTGACATAGTGAGTTTGGGATACCTGTGGGGTTTCAAAACTAAAACAATTAAAGCAATTAATCTAATTATTCAACAACGTTAACGTACAAATGACGTAGTTAACGAAGAAAAATGATTCACTTTGCATTATTTCCGAAATCATCCCGATTTATGTATTTTTATAACTTTCATTTGGACTGAACTCTTCAGACAAAAATTGTATAAGTAGTCATCGTTGTCATTGTTACTTTTCGCATTACCGGGAGTTTCATTATCACCGCAATCAGTAAATTGTATGTTCAGGTTATTTTTAGCCCTTTACGCTTTAAGTTGTTTGTCATGAGCTGGGAGGAAAAGTAATTAAGTTAACAATCAAGCCACTCCAACATACTGCTAATGCAATTAGGAAAATATTTCGAGAATGGAAAACAACAAACAAAAACGTTTGAAAGGTATATAAAGAGAATGTGAATGTTGTTTTTCACTTCACCCTTAGCATTCACTGTCCAACGTTAGGTGCAAGAATCTCAAATGGCCGCTCAACTGCAGCCCGGCAAGAGGGACAGATTCTCCATCATCTTTAAATCAAAACAGTCCAATTCAGAAGCAAAGCAAAGCAAAATTTCAACCATGAAGAAAAGCCTTTTCAAGCTGTTTTCCAAATCGTTTCGGAAGGCTGTCAAGACCGAAAATAGTCCACCTTCATTGCCTGCGCTGGCTCCAAAACCTGTGGAGATTTTCCCGAAGAGACACGAATTGTCTCCAAATATTAGCAAAGTATTTGCAGAATTCAGCAGTCCTATTTACCCCCAAATAGACGGGCCGTCACCGAAGATTAAAGTACGTAGCGACGTCGAGGAAACTTTCACCGACCTCGTTTTGACATCCCAGGGTTGTGAAGAGCCTCCACGAGAGACTGCCAAATCGTCACTAAAAAATTCTCATAAACTGTCCTTGACGAACAAGAAATTGTGTCCAGATATTGCCTTGCTATCTCCTGGCCTTGACAAACTTTCACCTGGAATGAACAGGCTGTCACTGAAGAGAGAAAACTTTCCTTTGCAAGATAGCGAACCGTGCTTAAAGACAAAGCGAGATGTTATGCCAGAAGTTTTCCTCTTTCCTCCGGAAATATGCCTAGAATCACTCGAGGATGAAGAAGTTAACGAAAATGAAGAATTCTGGCAAGATATTTTATGGCCACACCCTGAAAGTGACGAAACTTCATCAGACATCAACCAATTGTCGCAAGAGGGGGATGAACTTTCTTCGAAGAACGATTTGTGCCCAAGCAGTGCTTTGTTTTTCACTATCCCTGAAGAGTTGTCTTGTTCAGCATCGACTAGCAAGTTACCGAATAAAGACGAACTGTCTTTGAAGGGTGGTGAATCGTGCTCCAAGAAGCAAATTGTAACGCCAGACATGTCCGTCAATTCTCCAGCACTTGGTAAAGCATTGCTTGAGGACGAGCCGAAACCTAAGGATAAAGTCAAGGCTCGAAGATACCGGTCCGAACCTCTTCGAAGAAAAGAACTATATCGTCCCCGCTTTGTAAGCGAGCCGTGTGGTAATATGTATACTCAGCTTATGGCAAAGCAAGGAGCAAAACTAACAAAAGCGGCCTATGAACTAACCGAGGAGCAAAGCCGCATGCTGTATGAAGACATGTTTAAGCCACTTGACGTTTTCTCCTTAATGCAGGAGCGCAGCAAAAAATGAGAACCTAAAGAAATTAATAGTCTTTGATCAATAGGTCATACTTTTTCTCGACCATGCACTTGTTTGCATTTCGTTTTGACGTTTACTTTACATTATAGGCAACATAGTGTAGCCCATTCTGTATATTTTTCATTGAATAAACGAAAACCGACTGGTTCAATTATCTGCTTGAATTAAGATCTTGATTTTCGTCCTTCCACTTTTAGCTCTTTGAACGTGAATATGACAGTCCAAAAATTGGCTTTCAATTATACTGGCCTTAACGTCAAGCCTATAAATAGGGTCATGTATGAAAAAGAGAGAAGTACTCAAGTACCGTTTAAAAAACGAGCAGGAGTGTATTCTCAGGTTTAAAATTACAGTTTTCAAACCTGTCAATACACGACTGCGAGTTTTTTGTGAACGGCTTCAAAATCTCTGATATAGATCAATTCATTCTTACTCTAATATTTAGAGTTGAGGTCATGTTGGTGGACGTAAACTTTAGCCGTGTCTTTATCAGGTATAAAGACACTCATTAAACTATGAATTATTCATAAGTTTATGAAGGCTAAAAAATTCACAGCCAAATCGAATAGTTAGCGTCATGTATTTATTCACAGTCGACGAACACTCTTTCGTACGAATAGATACACGACATGGTTACTGTAGCTTTTGAAGCACATCTGCCCCTGTAATCTGATACTGAAACATGCATCACAAGAGCTTTCGTTACGTTATCTTCCTCTAAACTTATAGGAACTTCGCCATTTTATTGTTTATGGGATGGGCCTTGAATTTTTCTGACTTTCTGTATGCAGCAATGGAAGTCAGCTCCTAAAAGACAAGGGGGAAAAAAAACATGGTTTACTTATCCACGACGAAGAAAAATCGAGAGCTACTTGTCTGAAAAAGACATCAACGAACACTATATCATTCAGTGAATCTTAACTGGTGAAGTTCTTTTCCATTATTTTCCATTTTGGGTCGGTCCTTTCTCGCACGCAACCTTCTTTACGGTATAACGAGTCGATAGCGTATCGGTCGATTATCGGTATTATTTTGGACCGACAGGTAGACAGAATAACGCGGCAAAAGCGTCGGTCCTTTCTCGGACGCAACCTTCTTTACGGTATAACGAGTCGATAGCGTATCGGTCGATTATCGGTATTATTTTGGACCGACAGGTAGACAGAATAACGCGGCAAAAGCTCATAAGAAGGCAAATGCTATCATCATAAATGGCTAGTTTCGTTTTGGAGAATTAATTGCTAAAAGATGCGTCAGTAGTAAGGCGCTTGTTGACTGCTCACAGATAACATAAATTAAAAAATAAAATAAATTAAAAATAAAAATAAATTTAATAACTTTTAAAACATTGAATGGCTCCGGTCCCCGTTATCTTGAAGATATTTTAAAATTTTACCATCAATCAAGGACATTACGGTCATCAAGGGATCATTTACGCCTTAAAAGAACCAAATTTTAACATGAAAAGTTATGGCCAGCGAGCGTTTTCCGTTGCTGTCCCCCGACTATGGAACAAGCTCCCCTTTGAAATTCGAGCTTGTTCTGATGTTAATCTCTTTAAATCTAAGTTGAAAACGTTTCTTTTTAAAAAGGTATATGACATTTAGTTTCATCATATTTGTTTTTGTTTTCTTTCCTTTTTAAGATGTGTATGCTATAAATTTCCCAATATGTACAGTAGGGTTATATGTAAGCTTGTGATTAATGATATTCTTATGTCCTTTTTTACATTGTAAAGCGCTTAGAACAGCGATGTATAAGCGCTATATAAATTCCATTATTATCATTAACATGTTTACCTCAATCCTAGAACGATATTCCTGAAAAAAAAAGAGAGAGAAAGAGATGAGGGACGACCATTATAAAAGTTATGACCAGCTTTATCGAAAGCCCTACTGAAGACATTTACCTTACGGTTGACATGGCCGTCCAACAACGTTGATTCGAACAGCAGACGAGCCAATTAGAAAATAGGATAAGGAACACGTGACCAACATTGATTTAGTGACGCCATCACTGTCGATAAACCGCAAGTCGTTAAACTGGAAGGAGGACGGCAGTCCAGAGCTTTTTTTATTTTTTTTTTTCTGGCCGGCTTTATCGAAAGCCTTGCTAAAGACAATTACCTTAAGGTTGACATGGGGGTCCAACAAAGAAGCCTCAAACAGGAGATGCTCGTCCAAGGCTTCAAAAAGGATGAAGTCCACAAATGAGATCTGTAATCAAACAGGGTTGAAAAGAAAGACACACGCTCAAATATAATACATTCAATTAAAACATCACCTTACAAATACCTTAACAAAGGTATCAGGAACGAAATTATTCCAGTGAAGATTGCGTTAGTGTTGCCACAAGCTTGATTCCTTGCTCTTTCTCTCTTAATACTACTGCATGAGAAATTTCTGCAATTTGATTGGCTTAGAGCAGTGGTATTTCAGCTTAATTTATAATACCTACATGCGAAAATTACAAACCTTTTGAGGGCAGTAGTATAAACAAATAATAGCATGACTTGTACGTGATATTTGGCATAAATACCACTTGTGATATTTCAAAATTGTCTCAAATTTCACGAGCCGTTAGGCGAGTGAAATTACGTATAAAGATTTCGAAATATCACTCGTGGTATTTATGCCAAATATCACTACAAATCATGCTATTACCTGTACTAATTCTTCCCGCAAAACAAGAGAGACCATGGGCATGAGAAATTTCCCGTTAGTTCCCGTTAGTTGTTAGTTAGTAACATTTAGCTGTCAATAAACTGTAGATTAGACCGAAAGTCCTGCACAAAAAACAGCACGGATTCCTTAGCTTCCTTAACAACATGGAACTTTCAAACAGTTGAAAGTTAATCGCTAACGAACATTGCACAATTCTTACAAACCTCTATCAAGCGGACACTTGGGATAGGTCCCGTAGGTGTCCGCTTAATAGAGGTTTCACTGTATATCGGAAAAATCATCCAGACGCGACGAGGTCAGCGCACATGAAGTAAGTATTCCCTTTCTAAGGACAAAACATTTCACAAAATTGTCCCAAAATGTACCTGATTCTCAGCGCATCATTCCTTTCAAAAAATTTTCGGGGGGAGCATGCCCCTGGACCCCCCCTAGGAAGCTCGTGCCCTTCGGTCACTCGGGACTTCTCCCCCAAACAATAAATCCTATATAGAACCCTGCTCTTATCCAATAAGAAGACAGATGCTAACGTGTCATGTTATTTCAGTTTACAAATGTGAACTTACATTGGGGTGGGTCACCTAAGATAAAAGCTTTAAGGATCAATTTAGCTTTCTGAGAAACTGCCCACCTACCCCTCCCTTACGCCATCATTTTGCCCACAGTGAAAAGCAAGTATTAATGCTAGCTTAGGGGAGGGGTAGGTGGGCAGTTTCCCAAAAACGTAAATTGACAGATCTATTTAAAGAAACTTGAGCATGCCGGTTGGGAACACCTGTTGTTCACACTCGATGCGTTGGATAGCGCAGGCAATAATTGCAAGCATTATTTTTGGGATGTTAATATGTCCCAATTTAATATCCGACACAAGAATTTACAAATACCTTATCTCCAGCCAAAAACTTCCTCTCTCCGAGAAAGTCAGAAAATTGTTGAAAGGTGGCCTTAATGTCTTTAATATAGCCCTCTTTAAGTTTATCCTGTGGAAAAGAAAAAAAGCTAAATGCAACGAAAATAGACCCTTTCACGGTTTTTTCAACTTTTGGCATGGATCAGGTGCCGTAAATGCGTCGAAAACGATGCGAAAACCGCTTTAATAAATTTGCCACCTTTGAGAGAGATTTGTTAAAAAATAACGAAGAGTTTGGCTCCACTAAGGGGCTGTTTACATGACAGAAGGGCGACTTTCGCGCCAGAGTGAGTTCCCTCCGGTTCCCTCTCATGGCTCTATATTTGTTTACATGGTACCACCACAAAATGCCATGTTGGCGCGAGTCACCCCGGTTGTTGTACCCAGTCATAATGTAAACGCGATACGAAATCAAAAAGTCATCCCGGTATGAAACTCGCGACGGTGCGAGTTTTCTCTTGTGAACACCCGCTAAGTCGCCAAATTTCACAGAGTTTGTACAGGGTCAGTTAAGAGTCTGATGGCTTCCCAGGACCCTCAAAAGTGCCTTCTAGTGCATTTTAAGTGACCAGGGAAGAAGTTTTAGCCACGAGACCTTTGTTTTACTTTTAAATTTGTTTCATATGTTTGTTTTTATTGTGAATAACAAGTTGCTTTCATGACGACTAAACGGAGATTTTCGCCCGTTGCCGGAACTTCTAGAGGACTCTGAACTGTGGTGTTTCAAGACAAATGCATCTGACTCAGAAACCAGAAGAGAAGTATAAAGGACATAGTGAAGATTGCTAAGGTAGACACTCACAAAGTCTGGATTATAACACAGTCCAGTAAACTTCTTGCGCCAGTCCATAAGCTGTAAAAACAAAGAGCAGTGAGTATAAAGACTTAACCAAGACGCAAAGAGGTTTTCACTCCAGGCTGTCATAAGACTTAGACTAGCAGGAAACATTGTTTGTATGAAAACGAGAAGTTTACCAGTACAAGAACAGAGAATTGGCGGCTTATAAAAAGCAGTACAATAACTAAGGGCCTGTTTACATGGAGTGGGGGACCCCGGTCTAGTGGGGTTGGTTTCTTTTTTTGTTTTCACGCTCTGGGGGACACAAAACAAAAGAAACCTACCCCACTAGACCGGGGTCCCCCACTCCATGTAAACTGGCCCTAAAACCCTAAAAATATTCCCACCGTCCCAACCCACGGGCCTCATTAATGTCAACTGATTGCACTGAGACTAAAGGTGACGTTTACACGGGACGATTTGCAACGACGATTTTTAGCGGAACACAGCGTTGCAATGCTGGAACAATGTTGTGTGTTGCGCTAAAAATCGTCGTTGCGAATCGTCCCGTGTAACACCTGAAGGAGTTACACGAGAGTCCCGTGTCACCTTAAGGAGGAATGAGTTTGCAGAAACTAATTATCCAAAATGACTCAACGATTAAAAATATTCACTTGAAAAGCGCACGCCACCATTTAGGCGCCAATTATAAGGGATAACCAGTCTGATTAAAAGTTTCTTCACACGAGAGGCCTCAGAGGCACAGTTATACATTGTTATAAAAATGTTGGAATGTACTGGGTTTAAATCAATTAATTTGCACTTGTATTTTTGGAGAAAGAAGGGAAAAGGCGAGTCATTTCATCAAAAGTGTTAACGATTTGTTCACCACAAACTGCCTGCAACCATATCCTTTGTTAAAGGGACACTACAGATGATGGGAAATGGTTGAAGGAAAATACGTTTGAAGCTAGAAAGAAAAGTGAATTGAAAAAAATTGAGGTCAGCGTAAATTTAATTTAAACGAAAGGATGCTAACGCAGCAGCCATTTTTGCACTGGGTCTATGTAGTAAGTAATAGTATGATTATGGAAAACTTATGAAGATCAAACTGGCCTGATTTTCTGATATGTCGACTCTAACTTTCTCTTGTTTAGTAGATCCACCTGTAAATTGACGTCCGAAAAACAGTTGGAGTTAGCTGGGTCAATTGAATGTCAAATTAGTTCCATCTTCATAATTAACAGTTACTAATTTTTCAGCAATTCAGTGTATGGTACAATGCAAATTTAACTTTTTGTATCAGAAACGTTGATACAATTATGCTTTTGGTGATAAAACGTGATCAGCCACCAAAATCAAATTGCTGTAGTGTTAGTTTTCGCGGTTTTACCGATTATACAACAAGATGAGCTAATGGAATGGCATCTGAGTGGAATTACAGGAACCAGAATTAGAGCTATTGGGGTATTAAAAATAATGTCAGTGAAATTTTGATCAAGGGAAAGGAAATTTCTGAAGTTTGAGTCAGCGAGGAAGTCGAGTTATCCGAGTTCAAGTTAACGGAATAAATTTGACTGAAAAGTGGGGTGAATTGAAATCCAGGAGAAATCATGGACTTAGTTCAAGCTAACAGAGAGTTCGAGTGACAAATGTATCCGAGTTCGAGATATCAGGGTTCTACTGTACTTAAAAAAAATGACAAATAATGGAAGTGGTCACACAAACAAATGCCACCATGTGCTTTATTCTTCTTCACGGTCCTTCACGTGATCAGCAACAAAAGAGAAGGACTAGAAAGGAAGGAGAAACCACCCACAAGTGCTTGTTCAAGTTTACTTACGTCATACATGCATATATAGTATTAAATTTTTAAAACAACCATATATTATTATACTGTATTAAAGAACCAACTAATTGATAAAAATATGTAAATGTACTCACACAGGTCATTCAATCTTGCAATGTGACGCATGATCTGAGAGTTTATAACAACAATATTATCCATTTTATAACAGAAATTTTACTGTATATGTAAAAAAAAATCTATTTACTGGAATATTGTTGTGTTGCAAGGGTTTTCCAATCAAGTAAAAGAAAACAAATTAAACTAATTATGAACGGTAATTGTTCAAAATTATTAAAAAAAGAAACTTGTTACAATGAAAAAGACTGAATACCAATAAATTAGTGACATTACATTCCTGCCTGGATTTGATAGAGTGCCCAGTTTCTATAGAGCCAAATGCAAAAGAACTCACCCTCCCCACCCATCACAACCAAGAGTAGTCAAGCAATGATTGCTAATGGTTTGGCTGGGCTGATCTTCCCCCTATCCCTAACCCATCTTTTTAACACAGAGCTGCCACCTCCTCACCCATTGTCAGGTCTGGTAGTGGGCTATCTGCTAGCACCAAGCAAGACGACCACCCCCCAACCAGTGTTATCCCTAAATTTTAGCTCAGCAGGTAAGGGACCATTCATAGACAGTAAGGCAAAAAAAAATGTTTTTTTTCCAGCTACCCAGTGTGAGGGACATGGCCTGGGGTTGCAACCCCATCCCTCAATTTTGTTTTTCAGCTACCAAGTCTGCCTGTGATGCCCATCCACAAAGTCGTGACTATTATTAATAATTTATTATCATTAATAATTACAATGTACTTACTGCATTGCTTTGGGTGATCTTGATATCGCCATCAATATAATAAGGAAGCTAAAATGGGTAAAACACAACATAATCATCTTCAATACAAAAGTTTCTACAACTGAATTATTATTGATTTTCATCTATTAGATATTTTTCAGGGAGTTAGTATTTACATGACTGCACAACAGTGCACCTTAATTAAATGCATGCTTTCATCTGAAAAAAATGTGGCTGTGCCATGCGGCCATGCAGGGCTGTCATCAAGTTTTGAAGCAGCTGTACTCCGCGAATGGAGATTCACCCGTAACATCTCAGAATAATTTCTAGTGTCATCGTTAGCTTTCCACTTTGCTCACATGTAACATGAAGTGAGCTCAGCTGTAACAAGTGATATGGGTTACGGCCCTCTAATGACAGCTCTGATGTCCAACTTGCTCACCATCACAGTCCTCAGTACTGTAAAAGTCAGTAGTTAGACCATCCAACTAGTGTACAGAAAGTGGTGGATTCAATTCCAACCTGGAATGATCCACTCACATTATCGCACTTAATACATTCACATATTTCTTAAATTCAATTTCTCACTTACATTAGGGAAATCCAGCCCCAGCGTGAACTTAACTGAAAACCAGCAATCTCTGTTGTAGTCAGGAGCTAAAATTTAATCAAAGAGTGAGGTACTTAAAAAAAATAACAATGATATTATTTTTAAACATTGTTGCATATAAAGTCAAACCTCCATATGTGACCACTAAGAGATGGCCTTCCAAGACACCAAGACACCCACAGACATTTGAGTCAAAGTCCTATATGGTTGAAACCTCCTGTATACAACTAAATCTTCACATTTTGGGTGTGGCTTTTAAAAGCACTTTATTTGAGTCATTACCATATTTAGTATGAAAGTAATAATTGCCAGGGACACTATCTTTTGCGTCTCCTACTGCAGACGGAACCGCCATTTTAAAATCCCCAAATAAATTAATTTATCACATAATAGTCCCATCTTATCACACAATCTACCCTGAAAATATCACACAATTTCCAAATTTTTTATCGCACCCTATCAGATGGGATGCATGGTCATTTGAGCCATGCAGTGCAAAGGTCTAGCCGTCTGAAGGACAAAGCCAGTACCTTCATTTCTCAGTTATTTTAAGACCCAGTATTGGCAAAGGCAGTACCATCAGGTTCTCAGTTATTTTAAAACCCTGAGTATATTGGTCGGGAAGTTTGGAGAGCACGAAGATGCGTAAGAGTTGCCGAGGCAGGAATCATGTAAACCTGTCAGAGCAAATTCTTTTCCTGCTGACAAAAACTTGCTTTTTGATGAACTGCAAAATTTACACAATAACAAACGGTTCTATTGGGTGATTACGAACACGCCACAATCGTCTAGTTTGAATGAAAATATTCTTTCTGTAAAACTGAGAAAGAAAATTTGCTTCTTTATTCGATTAACGATCAATGGAAACTAAGCAGAAACAAAGGTAAAAGAGTCTTAAAAGTTCTCCTAAAGTTAAAAATACTGTGCGTAAGAAGTCGTGGAGTATGGTTTGGATTTGCTGAAAAAGATGTTTACGTTTTGCTCGGCGAAATCCAGAAAACATGTCTTTGCGAAGGCGACTGTCATCCTTCTTTAAACTCATATTCATTTACGAACATGGGCTGGTCATTACGGCTTCTTGAGAAGACCTGGCAGCAGTTGTTTTTGTGAGTAATAAATTTATGTCTTCTTGTGTAATTTGTGTTGTTATTGCGAGAGAGAAATTTTCCTGCTTCAGTCAGATTGTCCGGAGATAACAAAAGTGCATAACAAATTTAAAAACAACAAAAGCGGAAATTTTACCTTTAAATGTTTTTGATGACCAGTTGGTGTCTGTTCTGTTCCCAGTGAATGTCTTTTCGCCAAAATTTGCTGCAGCTGGTCTTCCGACAAATTTGCGAAAACGCGTAACTTTGCGAGTTTTTTTTTTAATTCGACTTTATTCTTGCTGCTTGTTGGATCAGGACCTAAAAGGTCAATGCCGATAGAAAAATTGGGCACTTCTTCGCTGGTTTCTTCCATATTTTAAAGAGAAGGAAAACTGCACTGCAGCTTAAAAGACGACAACTTTGCAGCCAGGTAAAAAAAGAATGCTTACGTCATCTTATTTACGCACGGGCGTGCGTAAATAAAGATTTTGTTCATAGCGGCTCAATAGGACTTATATAGGGCAAGCACGCGCGCTATGTTATAATTTATATTTCCCCCACCCCTGGTGGGAGGGGCACTTATTGTTTTTACTTTATGATGATTATTGTCTATGCAAACCCGCGAGGTTCCCTGTACTGTATTTATTTACAATATTGTTTTTATTTTATCATGATTATTATCTATTGGAGGGTAGCCAGGGCTTAAAACATTTAAATCCTTTAAATTAGAATTCATGATACATAAATATATTGCCTTGAATTGAAAAAAATTGAGAATTTGAAACCAGCATCACAGTTGAACTAGCCTCACATCCAGATCTCAGCTGAGATCAGGATCATAGATTAGCAAAGAACCAAACACTTTGGATGGGTGTATGGCTGCAAGCCGGCAAGGAACCTCTCCAGTGTTTCTTTATAATAGTGAAGCCATGAGGTGTGTCAGACCTGCCATACATTTTTGCAGAATTAGGCATAGAGCTTTTAGCAAAAAAAAAAATGGATATTTCTTCAAATAATAGGCATTCCTCAATTAATTGCCTCCCTTCAATAATTGCCCCTTTTAGACAGAAATATTTAAAACACCTTATTACATGAAATTTTCACGAAATGTTTATTTCACGATTTTGATGTGCGCAATATTTCGTGACACTTAAATTTCACGATTTTACGAAAATTTTATATTTTGAATTACTTTAAATTTGCATTCTTTTAGTACAACAATTTACTTTACATTAAGGCAATGCAGTATTTAACATTTCTTTGAATTAAATAAAGTAACTTTATCAAAGGAACTATATAAACGTCAAAATTAAGATCAAGAGGAGAGCGGGACTAAATGTCAAAGCAGTTCTCACAATGTCCACAAGCAGTTCATGCTTGTACGTGAATTATTGTAGTTGCAGAGTCAATTGACCTCAACATAAAATTCCTCAGAAAAGTTAAAAAATGTGATAAGTGTAAACGTTGACAGTGGTAATAAAATCATTCTTTCTTGAGTATGGACATAATGGTGAGTCACTTAATTTTTGCATCATGTTCGCGACACTCATTGTTTGTGTCATTTTAATTTTGCAATTTTTTTTGTATTAATTGCAAAATTCGCGTGTCCAAAACTTTCAGGTAATAAGATGACCTCCCTCCATGCCTCCTCCCACTGCAGAGATTTTGAAGTAAAGGAAAGATCTAGAGCACAGCTTGAGTCATTCCCCTATTGTTTCATCAGCTAATAGGGGTGCCAGACAACCATGTAAGCTCTCTCAGATAGCTCTGACTTGGGGTACAAATTTATGTAAGTGTTTACCAGATTTTTCTCAAATTGCGGCTTGTCTACTCGGATAATTCTTCTGGCTAATTTTCAATGGAAATATTGGGCACCAAAACAATTGAACTCTTATTTCCTCCTTTACTCTTGAATCGCCTCCGCCCCCGTCCCCTCTTCACGACACCCCCCGCTTCCACAAAATTATCCTGTACTAGACAGCCAGACGATCACATCGATCATGGTTTTGGCTAATGCAGAAACACATGTATGCTCTACATTCTAAGTCCGCATAATTTCACTCTAGGCTGCTCTCCACCAAAAAAGCTGACTCACACGCAGAGCACGAAAGTAGTCGAACATCATGATTAGCATATTTTGAAATAACAAGTTACACAAAAAGTTCTTACCATCGCCGCATTCATAACGCTCGTCTTTAAATTCTGTTCCCGTGTAGTGCAGTAAAAGTCTAATGGGTTCCGCTAGCTGGTGGAGGAAATAAGTATCCCATATTCAAATTTACTGACTTCACGCTGCTGCGCGAATTTCGTAGACACGTGGAAAATGTAATCGACTGTGCAATGAAAACAAAGCAATTCCATCCTTTAAAATGACAAGAAACTTACCCCGCGAATATCCCAATAACCGAGGATTGGAGCCATTGATGTTGACAGACTTTCCTACAAGTTCGAAAGATTTGCGAAAAACACAAAATTGTCACTTCGAATCTTCAGTCGCCAGTCTAGAATTTGTCGACTAGTTCCAGGTCTCTTGAAGACGGACTCGCTGGCCGGTGCGTCCACGATTTTAACGGGGGAGGGGAGAGGGGGGGGAAGGGGAGAAAGGGGGGCGTTTTCTGTCTGTTTGCTTGAATACAGTGCGCAAACTCTCACTTCGGACGTTGCCCGAATTTTACTTTTTTCATTAGTTAGGCCATCCTTTTTTTTTTCTCCGTTTAGCGTCGTCCGATCGACCCAAATTTTTGCCGTTTTCACAAAAAAAAAAATTAACCATTTTCAGGAGCCCATTTCATTTGAAAAAAAATGAAAAAATAAGGGTAAATTTGTGGTCGACGTGAGAAGCTATCCGCATTTTTATAAACAGCAATGGCGTTTTCTCTCGTCCTGATGAATTAATCGCTAAAACGATAGAACTATGATAGCACCGAGGGGGGACTCGGCATATCAAAGGGGTGGGGATGCTCGTCGTCTCGCTTAGGGGCGTAAATTTCGGAGTTTGGTCTCACTTAGGGTGTTCTGGGCAAAACGCCATCATATTTAGCCGTGAAGGTCTCGTTTAGGGTTGCACGCGAAAAAATATACAAATATATATTTGATATGTATATTTTTTTGGTCTCTTTTAGGGGTCAAAAAAAGGTTGGGTCACGCCCAAATCGGTCTCCTTTAGGGGTTTAATTCAAAATTTCCGACGAGCATCCCCACACCTTTAATATGCGGAGTCCCCCCCGGGTGATAGCATCCCTTATCTGCTTGCCTTATTTCCTTGTCCACCAACCACCCCCACCCTCTCTCCTTCCCCGAAATTTTGCTGCAATACCCAGGAGAAATTGGAAACAACGATTATGCATTTGTCTTTTTAGAGGGGAAGGGTGTGGGGCGGGAATAAAACATGGTTTATTATGGTCTATGTGAAAACGATGAATGGTCAGCTTTGTTGTTGAACCGTACGAAAGCGATAACAATATCCGGCAAGATTTTCGCTAATTATTCCTCGAGCAAGAATGGGTTCTGAGTCAATAGCCCATGAAGCCGAAGGCCGAATGGGCTATTGAATAATTGTTTTAGTAAAATCCAACTAGTTGCTCTAAAATATCGAGAATAAAAAAAATTTTAGCAAGTTAAAGCTAGACTTTAATCCTTTTTTGCCGCCAAAAAGCCCGCGCATTTCGCTACTAGTGGGCTATAACATATAGCCTAGTAGTAGGTCAACCAGTCAGGATCATGATGCAGCATTGATAATAAACAACTAGTTGGATTTTACTAAAAAGAAATAGATCTGCTGTGGAATACACACGCTGTTTCATGACATAAATGAAGAAATAAATAAATAAAATGGGAGGGATGCCAGTATTGTTGGTCGGAGGGAGACCCACCTAGTCCCAAGCTTATCTCCGCTAGTTCTTGGAAATAGGTCATTATGGATGTTTCGAATTGGGTTTAATAGCAGATTAGCGTTAGACTTTCCTTAGGGGAAAAGTACATGTAGGGCGAGTAGAGAACAGCGAAAAAGGGGAGGAAAAAATAAAAGATACAAATAAAGGAAGATATTACAACCACCAACTTTTCGTTTATTGCAAAATATACAGAAAAACAGACATTTCTACGCCTATGTAAAATTTATGTGCACTAAAAAGTCAAAACATTATGGAAACAAATGGTCGAGTTAATGTTTGGCCCCGTTCAAAACTTTTTTCTCATTTTTTTGCTGCGCTCTGTGTTAAAACGAAAACGTCAAGTGGCTTAAACATGTCTTCATACAGCAAGCGACTTTGCTCTTCGGTCAGTTCGTAGGCTGCGTTTGTTAATTTTGCTCCTTGCTTTTCCATCAACTGAGTATACTTATTGCCACACGGCTCGCTTACAAAACGGGGACGAAGCGGCTCTTTAGCTTTTCTTTGAAGAGGATTCGATTGGTACCTTCGAGCTTTGACTTTTTCTCGTGTTTTAGGCACATCCTGAAGCAATACTGGAGGATTCATGGGAATGTCTGGCGTACCGCTTTGTCTACTGAAGTACGATTCACTGGGCATGAAAGACAGTTTGTCCCCAATCGGCGACGAGGTAGTCAGTTTAGAAAACAATTCTTCAGGGATGGCAGATAACATAGGACTCTTTGGGCCTGATTTGTCTTTCTTCGGGGATGATTCATGTCCCTTCGGCGATAATCTGGTGGTCTGGGTGAAAATGGCTTCACTTTCATGAGATGGCGACAAGACCATGGGCCAAAATTCTTCTTCTTCATTAACTTCTTCAATCTCGGGAGATGGTGGGCATATTTCAGGAGGAAAAATAAAAACTTCCGGCATAACGTTTCGCTTTTTCTTTAAGCACACTTCGCTACCGTCGAAAGGCATGTTTCCTCTTTTCGGAGACAACGTGTTAACCTCAGGTGAAAGTTTGGTAAGGTCTGGGGATATCAAGGCAATATCTTGACACAATTTCTTTTTGGTCTGGGAGCGTGGAAGCGCTTCACAGCTCTGAGATGTTAAAACGAGGTCGTTATAAGATTTCTCGACGCGGGTTTGTAAGTCTTTAATCTTTGGCGAAGGACTGTCAAGTTCTGGAAATATTTTGCTAATTCTTGGAGACAGGTCCCGGCTGTTTGGCAAGAATTCCACAGATTTTTGAGACAGAGCAGGCAATGCAGCTAAATTATCGTCAGTTTGGCTAGCCTTCCTGAACGATTTGGTCTTCACTGAAAATATCTCGGAGACGTTGTTCTTCATGGGTGGAGTTTTGCTCTGCTTTGCATTTGCGGTGAAAGCTTTTGGTTTGAAGAAGGCAAATATGTCTCTCTTGCGAGGTTCCATTTGAGCGGCCATTGGGAATTCTCTTACCGTACTTCAAGCAGTGTTGCAGCGTTTACGAATGCTGAGCGTCGAAGTGAACAACAACGTACACGCTCTCTTTATATACCTTCAAATTTTTGTTTTTTGTTTTGTTTTTTTCGTTTTACTAATTGCATTAACGCAACGTTGAGATGACTTGGTAATTAAATTTATTTTCTGTGGTTTCCTGACATCCAGGCAGATCAAAACACTTGTCAAATTGTCAGACCTACATCAAGAAAAACAACTAGAACACGAAATCACTAAATACTTAAAAAGAAAAAAAAAGACAAAAAGACAAACAATACTCCGATTTTTTTCGAATATTTGAGATAGTGTGAAATATGGAAAAACTGAAAAGAACGATTCAGTTTGCTATTTGCAAGGTTGTTTTTGTGTTTTCTTTACCGGGGCATTTTACGTCAAAGGTTCGGTGAGGTAATATATTATTATAATTAAATTAATTTACATATGTGGTGATAATTTATTAAGGTCATTATTTTTCTTATTTAAATTACTTAAATGTACGTCGACGGATTTTGATAAGATTTACTATTGAAAAAAAAAGGACTGTGTTTGTGTGTTCATTACTGTCATTTACGTCAATGACACGTTAAGGTGGTGAGTTAATTAATAATAAAATTATCAAATAACTGAGAAAAAGCAAAATAAACTACACTGCTAATAAGAATTGTAAAGACCACAATCACTTTTTTTTGGCTGAAGAGGTAAGTTAAATGAAAATTTTAAAAAAATAAATTTCTTATTTTCAATACACGTTATTCACGTTATTTTGACGTGTTTAAAGATGTAATTGCAGGTGACGTAGTTAAATAATTATTTTCATTACTAATGATTCAATAACGAAACGAAAGAAAAACAAGAAAAAGGGAAAAGATAAAGGAAACTAAAGAAAACTAAAAAACAAACAGACAAACTATTGACAAGTTATTATTGCTGATAAAATTTCTAATCGCCTTTTCTCTTTTCAAGTTATCAAGTTAAAAGCATTATTGTTCGGCATTTGTTACTTAGCAACTAATTAGGGGTATTGTCTTAGTGATACTTACGCAATGCATTTAATGTCGTAGGTTGTTTAATCCCCTGCTAATATCTTTAATGAGTGTACATGAAAACAATTGATTTTCAAACTAACATTTTCAAATAACAAATTTTAATTGCATTAAAACTGTAATTCTTTAATAACAAAGTGAACAACACATCTGTAAATGATAACGAATTACAAACCAAAGATTATAAGAAATGAACGGCCCAAGCAAAAACCAACCAAAGCCAAACGGATAGAAACAAACAAATAAAAAACAAAACTAAATTATTTTGTTAAATGCACCTAGGCGATAAAGGAATGACGTAAAGTACGGACACAAAACTACCGCTAATGAAATTTCTAATCACCTTAGCTTTAGTCTTTTCAAGTTGTTCAGTGAAAAGCTCATGAGGTCTTTAAATGACTGACGTAAAATTTGTTTGTTCTTTATTATCTGCAGAGACAATTTACAGCCTATAATGTTAAAAGAAATATTGGTCGGCATTAATCACTCAGCAACTAATTAGTGGTATTGTTCTTAATGATACTTAATATACAATGAAATGTCGTATGTAGTTCAAGTTAATCCCCAGCCAATACCTTTAACTAGTAAATATGGAAACAATTTATCAAAATAACATTATTTATTTTACAAATAAGTTACAAACTTGCATTCTTTAATAACAAATATACATAAATGATATTGAATTTCAATCCACAGAAAAAATAAAATCAAATAAAACAACCATAAACACAAACCAAAACAAAAGAACAGAAACATAACTAATTGCAAAATTATTTTGTTTAATTCTCCTTGGGGATATAGGAATGACATTTAATGTGATTTCTTCTCAACTTTTGTCTTTGCAAGAATTAACCCCTTGATATGCTAATAAGGTCTTTAAATGACTGACACAAATTTCCTTTTTTGCTTATTTTTCAGTGACAATTTACAGCCCATGATGTTATAAGGATTTCTGTTCGTCATTTGTTTATACTTAGCAACTAAATATGAACAAGACAAAATAAAAAATGGCACTAAAATAGTGGGCGGTGGTTAACAAACGGGAAATTCTCT